AGTGTCGTGTCAGGTGTCGTGTACGGTCGGTGTGTGTGTGTGTGTGTGTATGGTTGTCGTGTGAGGCGACGTGTATACGGTTGTCGTCTTCCATATCATGCACGCTTGTTATATGAGGTGTCTTCCACGGCTGTTGCCCCCCTCCCCCGTGTGTCCACCTTACCAAGATGAGACACGTGTGGTTGTGGTGCGTGGTGGAGGGTCACTGGTGCCTGTAGTGTAAGGCTGCGTTAGTGTATGACTCATATTTAAGGTTATGATCCAGGGACACTGTTAAGATGTGTGGCTAATAGTTGTGATTAAGGCACAGAGCGGTGTGTGGCGTATGAGGTGCGTGCTTGTGGAATGCGATTGTGTGGCACGTGTGGCGGTGTAGCGTACATCTGGGGATGCAGGGAGGGGGGTGGGGGTGGAGATTCCTGGTAGTGTGGGTGGCGGGAAGGGGGGGAGGGGCTGGCCAGCAGGTCGCCACACCTCCGACAAAGCCACGCTGCCGCCCGCCTCTGTTGCCCACTAATTGTCCGTCATGTTTGATAAACGATAATCAGAGTTGTTAGCTTTTATTGTTACTGTAACTGTTGCCGGACTGTCAATCGGGGTTCGAAATAAATGGGGATGTTGAAGGCATTACGAGTTAATAAGTGTCCATTACTCATGCGGCAGCCAAGTCCCAGCCGTGGGGGATGGGTGTCAGGCTGCACCATAATGGTTGGTAAATAAACGTAAAACATTGCTCCACACATGACTACATCAGCGCGGCCGCCGCACATGGTGACTGTAGTGAGGCCGCCGCTGCCGTCGTGTACACACTCACCCACACCACCCAGCTCACCCACACCACCCAGCTCACCCACACCACCCAGCTCACCCACACCACCCCGCTCACCCACACCACCCGGCTCACCCACACCACCCCGCTCACCCACACAACAATTCATTTACTTGTGATATGGAGTCCTCAGAAAATTTCAATTACATTTCGAAATTATATTCCGAGTGACACACAACTGCCATTACAATGAAACTATTTTCATTTCCGAAATAAAATTGAAACATAGTGCAAGAGAGAATCCAGCTTACATGAAACTGATATTCATTAAATTACAGTTGACCTGTAGATGGAAACAGGTAAGACATACACCAGCAGGTCGTGTGTGACCGTGAGGTGCCATGATGAGTGTGACCGTGAGGTGCCATGATGACAGCCGTGAGTGCACATGAGTGTGACCGTGAGGTGCAGGTCCGTGGTGCCATGATGAGTGGGTGAAGTGTGACCGTGACCATAATGAAGTGTGACCGTGATGCCATAACGACCGTGAGGTGCCATACCCATAATGGGGAGGTGTGACCGTGAGGTGCCATGAGTGTGACCGTGAGTGCCATGATGAAGTGTGACCGTGCCATAATAAGGTGTGACCGTGAGTGCCGCAATGTGACCGTGCCATAATGAAGTGTGACCGTGAGGTGCCATGATGAGTGTGACCGTGAGGTGCCATGATGAGTGTGACCGTGAGGTGACCGTGAGGTGCCATGATGAGTGTGACCGTGAGGTGCCACCGTGGTGCCATGCCATGATGGAGTGTGACCGTGAGAGCTATGCCGCTGCGTGAAGGTGCCATAGCGGGCAGGCCGTGAGGTGCCATAGCAAGAGTGTGACCGTGAGGTGCCATAATGGAGTGCTTAATGATGAGTGTGACCGTGAGGTGCCATGATAGAGTGTGACCGTGAGGTGCCATGATGAGTGTGACCGTGAGGTGCCATGATGAGTGTGACCGTGAGGTATATGAGGTGACCCATAATGACCGTGAGGTGAAGTGTGACCGTGAGGTGCCATATGAGTGTGACCGTGCCATGATGATGGTGTGACCGTGAGGTGCCATAATGAGTGTGACCGTGAGGTGCCATGAGTGTGACCGTGAGGTGCCTGGAATGTGACCGTGAGTGCCATAATGAGTGTGACCGTGAGTGCCATAATGAGTGAGGTGACCGTGGTGCCATGATGTGACCGTGAGGTGCGACCGTGAGGTGCCATATGAGTGTGACCGTGAGGTGCCATAACCGTGAGGTGCCATGACCGTGAGGGTGCCATATGATGAGTGTGACCGTGAGGTGCCATAATGAAGAGTGTGACCGTGAGGTGCCATAATGAGTGTGACCGTGGGGTGCCATATGAAGTGTGACCGTGAGGTGATGAGTGTGACCGTGAGGTGCCATAATGAGTGTGACCGTGAGGTGCCATAATGAGTGTGACCGTGAGGTGCCATAATGAGTGTGACCGTGAGGTGCCATGATGAGTGTGACCGTGAGTGTGACCGTGATGCCATGATGAAGTGTGACCGTGAGGTGCCATAATGTGAGTGCCATGATGGGGAGTGTGACCGTGAGGTGCCATAATGAGTGACCGAGGTGCCATAATGAGTGTGACCGGATGCCATAAATTGTGACCGTGAAGGTGCCATAATGAGAGTGTGACGTGAGGTGCGCATGAAAGTGAGGTGCCACCGTAAGATTGTGAGTGCCATGATGAGTGTGACCGTGAGGTGCCATGATGAGTGTGACCGTGAGTGCCATGAAGTGTGACCGTGGTGCCATGATGAGTGTGACCGAGGTGCCGCCGTGAGGTGACCGTGCCGCAATGATGTGACCGTGAGGTGCCATAATGAGTGTGACCGTGAGGTGCCATGATGAAGTGTGACCGTGAGGTGCCATAATAGTGGAGGTGCCGTGAGGTGCCATGATGAGTGTGACCGTGAGGTGCCATAATAGTATGATAATGAGTGAGGTGATAATGAGTGGTGCCACCAGATGAGCGTGACCGTGAGGTGCCATGATGAGTGACCGTGAGGTGCCCATAATGAGTGTGACCGTGAGGTGCCGCGGTGACCGAGGTGCCATAAGGTGAGTGTGAAGTGTGACCGTGAGGTGCCAGCGTGAGTGTGACCGTGAGGTGCCGTGATAATGAGGTGACCGTGGGGAGGTGCCATGATGAGTGGTGAGACCGTGTGCCGCCATGATGAGTGTGGACCGTGAGGGGTGCCATAATGAGGTGACCGTGAGGTAAGTGCCATAATGAGGTGACCGGTGTGCCATAATGATACATTATGAGGTGCCATAATGAGTGTGACCGTGAGGTGCCATAATGAGTATGATATATATGAGGTGCCATAATATATAGTGTGACCGTGAGGGTGCCATATATGAGTGTGGACCGTGCTTGCCATAATGAGGTGACCGTGAGGTGCCATAACAGTGTATCGAAGGTGATGGACCATGATGAGAATAATGAACCGTGAGGTGCGGGTTTATTCCAGTGTGACCCATGCCATAATGAGTGTGTGACCGTGAGGTGCTGGTATCGAAAGGGGACCTGTGAGGTGTTGAAGAGTGTGACCGGAGGTGCCATGTGAGTGTGACCGTGAGGTGCCATAATGAGTGTGACCGTGAGGTGCCAAATGAGGTGACCGGAGGTGCCATAATGAGTGTGACCGTGAGGTGCCAGAATGAGTGTGGACCGTGAGGTGCTAGGAATGAGTGTGACTGTGAGGTGCCATAATGAGTGACCGAGGTGCCATAATGAGTGTGACCGTGAGGTGCCATGATGAGGACCGTGAGGTGCCAGGTGATGAGTGTGGACCGTGAGGTGCCAATGAGGTGACCGTGGATGAAGATGAGGTGACCGTGAGGTGCCATAATGGAGTGCGTGACCAGAGGTGCCATAAAGGTGGACCAGAGGTGCCATAATGAGTGTGTGAATCAGGAGGGTGCCAGGCGGATGAGGTGTGACCGTGAGGGGTGCCAAAGAATGAGGTGACCGTGAGGTGCCATGATGAGTGGAATCGTGGACCATAATGTGTGCCATAATGGTGGGGTGACCGTGAGGTACAATGAGTGCAAGGACCGAGGTGCCATAATGAGTGTGACCGGGGAGGTGCTAGCAGACAGGACAGTGTGATGGAGGGGTGTAGACTGAGAGTTACAATGAGTGTAGACCGGGAGAAATAATGTCAGAGTGTGACCGTGAGGTTAAGGTAATGAGTGTGACTGTGAGGTACATATAATGAAAGGGACCTGAGTTGAATGAGACCTGAGAGTAAGTGGAGCTGCATTGGATACATTATATATATACTGGGGTATATATATATATATATATATATATATATATATATATATATATATATATATAAGGTTATATATTAATTTGAATTTATCAACACTTATCACATTGTAATTCCTGAAAACTGATGGACATTGAAAAGAACTGCTAAGGAGTTTATTCCTAAAAACCTGCTATTAATACCCAAAGGAACCTGTTCTAACAGACAAAATTTAAAGAGACAATCAGACATTCAAGGCAGCGTTCATTAACTCAGGGTTAACAAGCAAGAGATTTGACCTGACTTTGGCGACCAGACAAAGACAAATGCAGGTTCACAACTCGTCCTAATTTGGTGTTATTTGTAATAAGTTTCATTAAATTCATCGATAAACGCAAAAATATATTCCAGACAAAACAGTGCACAGGATGGTCATAGGGACAATTGCCACACTCATAAACAGACTGATCGGTAATATTGTGGGTCCCCGAACTTGTGGAATCGTAATAATAATACATGCAAACCCTAAGCCAGTGTGTGTGTGACAGATCCTCTCAGAGACGTATTAATAGTGTTGATGGTTCTATAAGACAGGTGTGGTTCCATTTATGGCGCTCAATTACTTCTTGTGGCATGATGAGTTACCGCCCAGTGTGAGTACAAGAGTTGTGTGATGAGTTACCGCCCAGTGTGAGTACAAGAGTGTTGTGTGATGAGTTTAGTACAAAGAGTGTTGTGTGATGAGTTACCGCCCAGTGTGAGTACAAGAGTGTTGTGTGATGAGTTACCGCCCAGTGTGAGTACAAGAGTGGTGTGATGAGTTACCGCCCAGTGTGAGTACAAGAGTTGTGTGATGAGTTACCGCCCAGTGTGAGTACAAGAGTTGTGTGTTGTGTTCCAGCATGGTGGGTGACGGGCGGGCGGGGTAGAGGAGCCAGCAGGCTGTGCAGCAGAAGGCCGTGCACCAGCAGGCCACGCACAACAGGATGGGGAGCAGCGCGAGCAGCAGCACCATCATCAGTACCAGCAGCAGCAGCAGCAGCAGCAGCAGCCGCCACAGCAGCAGTCGCAGCAGCAGCAACAACCACAGCTACAGCAAGATGACAAGAAACAGACGTACAACCTCTGCTGGAACGAGTTCTCACCAATCTATTATCTTTTTTCAAGTAAGTGACAGGACTATTTTATCACTGATTACATTATTCAGGCTCTTCGTTATTGGATCTGGTGAATATTTGAAGGTTGCCGCCGATATATATATTGCAGTGAAATAAATGCCACTATTTGGCCGCCCCACAATCCAGTGCATTTAGGAATAACTTATTCATAAGTGGGAAAGTTGATACTGCATCAAAATATTGTTATTGGCTTGTTTGAAATTAATGAACAGTTTGAATATGATATTAAACTCCATAATGTCCCGTTAAGATTAGTAATATTTATTATTACTATTTAAACAACAAACTTGTGAACTTTGTATATACCGTGGTAATTGTACTGTACTGTAGTGCACTGTACATGGCCGCACTACACGTATCATACACCGCCAACACTCACCGCTCAGTCGAAGATCCACCGGCTGACGTCATGGTAGGCAAGGACCAATCAAACAACGTCCTGCCTCCGTACACGTGGATTCTTATATTTTGCCAACTTCCAAAACCAGTGTTGTATACCTCCCTTCTGCCTCCTCTGCCTTCGTCTCTCACCTGTGGATATAATGTCATATGTTCACCTGAAATTAAACTGAATCTCATCTTATTTTCTTTCCATTTAAGATAAAATAAAAAAAAACGATAATAATTTATCTTATCGTTCACTCATCATTTATTAAATATATGTCGGAGTAATAAATAAATAAAATAACAATTACTGATAACAAAAGCGTACACGAAATTAAGAAACTACAATCCAGCTTCTGACACCGGTAAAGTTTTCCTCTCTGAGACCCTATACTGAAACTATTACTACTATTGTGCTATACTACTCCTATTATGTACTTCTATTATGCTATATCACTCCTATTAATCTTCTTATTCTATATCATTCTTACTTCTATCATTCCATATCACTTCTATCATTCTGCATTACTGATAGCAGCGGTATGTCCAATCGTCAAACTCGGTACCTTACCCTCAAGACCGAACGCACCAAGACTGGCCACTACCGGCTATAAATATTAATATCCCCGGCACAACACAGCCACACACCCGTTGTCACTTAACCATTTATTAATCAATATAGAATAGCAGACGGGACCTCATTGTATCCCCCGACTCGACTGACTCATAAGTAACACGAGGAAGTTCTTTATTGATGTAGATATTATGCTCCACACTACTCCAGGGCTGTTATCATCTACGACTCGACTTGTAGTATATACTTAATGCGCCAAGGGTCATTCCGCTTATTTGGTAATAGTGGTGGTAGACAGGTGTAGTTTCAGTGCACAGTTAACGCTCACTAGTTTGCTTTGTGCTGTTGTTATAGTCGTTGAGAATTGTTAAATATGTATGATGGGTGGGGTTTTTTTTTATGGATGCTAGTAAGAATAAGCCTTAAAACCCAAAGAACTCCCGCAAAATACGAATGTTTGTTATTATTGTTGTAATTACCATGGTATTAGGTGTATATATGGTCAATTTACTCATTTCATTTAAGACGTCCTTCGCTATCATAGGATAACCAAATTGTTCTTAAAATAGGTGGTGAGGTTAGGTTAAGGTCGGTTGGTTTAAATTGAGTTATATTAGTGTTAATGATATTTTCTTATAGTTAGTACAGTATTATGTTTATTTAAATCACTTATATCAGAAATATATTTAAAATATCACTGCTTCACTTATCCATAAAACATCGCCATGTATCTTACTAAACCAAAGTCATTAAGTTTTCTTATATATAAGTGTAAGTAATGTAATACTCCGGTGTAATATGGTTGTGTTGTCTAGTCACTCTACACAGTAATACTTGATGACCTGAAAACTTTACTAAGCCTCTTGTTTGGTGGTCTAGGGAGCTCCGGGAGCAGGAGGAGTTCGTGGACGTGACCTTAGCCTGTGAGGGTCAGCAGGTGTCTGCTCACAAGGTTGTGCTTTCAGCCTGCAGTCCCTACTTCAGGTCACTGCTCAAGGTCAGTCAGTTTTCACACCTTCCGTTCTAACTGTTGTTCTTTACGAGCGGTTTTCTACAAGCATGATGCTAAATACGTGTTATTTATGTCATCACTCTGGCACGTGATGTATAAGCAACACCATTGTATTTTTCAGAATAATCCGTGCGATCATCCAATCATCATTCTGAACGAGGTTGGTTACGGGGAGTTGGTAACCTTGCTACAGTACATGTACCATGGCGAGGTGCAGATCGTTCACGACCAAATCAAGGACTTCCTGCGGACAGCCAAACTGCTACAGATTCGTGGGCTGGCCGAGGCCGCCGCAGCCGAGTCTCGCTCGCGCTCCACGCCTGACTGTAGGCGCGACAACGGCCCAGTCCGCGAGGTGCCCACTCCCACACCTAAGGTGGAGTTAATAGAGCCTGAAGAGGAGAGTCGGCCCCCAGACAGCCCACAGGTTAAAAGGATCAAGCTAAGTAGCAGTGTTGGTCCAGTGCCCCCTTCCTCCCCCTCACCACGCCTGTCCAGGGGCCCCAGCCCCCCCGCCCCCACGCCGCCCATACCTAGCCTGCCTCTCAGTATGGCTAACATGGCCAGCATGGCAGGTCTACCTACCTTGCCGCCCATGGGTCTACCAGGCGCTTCCCTCCCACTATCCATGCCTTCCTCCATCACTGCCCTCCCGCCCGTAACAACCGCCCACCCATCCTCCATCCACCACGGTCGCTCTGCCCTCCACACGCCGACGCCCACATGCCAGCAGCCCTCCTTCCATGGGCTGTACCCCGGGATGCCCTCTGAGGACACGCAGGACACAATGGGTAGCGACCGCTCTGAGGACCGCGACAAGATGCGCCACGACGATGACGACTACGACCACGAAAGCACACTGGAGAAGATGTCCGGACTCGCCAACATGGCTGCACTTAAAGGTCAATCAACCTGTACACCTGTAGGATAACACTCATGTTTTCTCTTGGATGTACAGTACTCCATAATATATTTGATCACCTTCTACACAGTATTCACAAAGAGCTCTGAATAATACCCATTTAGTTGACACATAATAGTCATACACCTTCCTAATTACACGGACTCGTCAGCTTTACTTACTGGATTTATTACATAAATTCAACTCGAGTTTATCAGAAGAGAGAGCCATTAGACAATACTACCTTATGGCGGAGTCAAACTATTGTTACATCTTGCCAGAAACAGATCTGCCGTACAAACTAAACTACATTAAAATACTTAGCAAACAAATTTGTAGGCAAACAGACAGACAATCATACAGACACACACAAAACCACTACCGGTACAGTCATTTCAGTGTAACTGCCCAAACAACTGGTTGCCTCCTTGACAAAAGACAACAATTACACTCTAGCGGCCTCAATAACAGGTCCTCTTCGCACTGACAGCCTCTGCCATCAGCTGCTATTAACCAAACAACCGATCACTTATCTAGACAACAAGACCCATACACTTGTGAGTCAATGGTAAGACATCTGCTGTAGATCTTCCCTCTTGTTCCGCGCCCATCAAGATGTATTCCACAGCCAAGCATTACAAGTCACAAAACAATTATCCATAAACATTCTTTTAAATGTTCCTAACTTTACACAACACTGGATGGTGAAGAAATAGAGTCTAGACAGAGTTAAGATATAGGAATAGATGGAACACTTATACCCCTCCTGTATCACCTTAGCCACCCACTCATCTCTCCCTCACCGGTGCTCTCTGACCCCTCACATGTTAAGGCACCAAGAGGTTGATAATCGAGCTGAATGGTAAGGGGCAAAGGTCTCTCTCTCTCTCTATCCAGTGTGACACGTAAGGTCAGCTCCAGTGTCCATTGATAACTCCACAAGACCACACCATTTCCCGCAGAGGCTAAGGTTAGAATGAGTTCTCCAGAGGCTAAGACATTTAGGAGGAGGACTTTACTGATTATACCTACAACAATTAAGAAAACCTTCATTATAACCCACAGGTTTCGGAGGTTTTCCTGGCCCCTCGGGTCTCGCCAGCTTGACTTCGGCCGCCCTTGGCTCCAACTCCGACAGTAATCCCGGTAAGTACACGTTTCGTAATTTTTTCCCCCATATTTTCTTATTGAATGTTATCAGTTTTCCATATCAGCTCTGTCTTTTTTTAATCATTTTTATCTATTAGTGTTGATTGAAAAATTTATCCGCAATCATCTTTGGACTGATTTTGAGAACAAGAAGCATGGGTATTATGACCACTTTTACTGCATGCTGTCTTGCTCATGTTTACAGCCTTGAGCTCTGCTATGACACTTGTCTGGATGATGCCTTCATTTTTACACCAACCTTACCGCGTTTTTCCTCCCCACCAAACAACGGCAATTTTTACACCCACCCTAGACGTGTTATGATCCCCAGCATCGGTAACACCACAACACCTCTTAAAGGCTTATCCTCAAAACCGAGTCATTTCAGTTATCTAAGACCCGAGGTTTGTCTCTCAACACCGTAAAAACTTACCAATGATTATATTAAGGTAACAGAGTAAAAAAGGAACAACAAAAATACTAACATCTTCAAAATCAGACGAACTTTTCTACGTTACTTAGGACAAAAATTCCGAATACCAATTTAAACATCTAGTCAGTGGTAGATGTGGCCACCAAACTGCCAACCACCATAAAAAATTCCCATCATGAAATTTAATTCTAGCAAATATTTTCCCCAGGACGACGCAGGGGTAAAAACGTCTATATAATTCACCTGCTTGAGACTTCATTACGAGAACAACTTACTCAGGATTCTCACTTATTTGGAATTAATGCAATATAAAGAAAATTCACCGTAAAGTGTCTGCGAAAATCTAATGTACAAAGCTATCTAGTATGTCTGTGGTACTCTGCTTTGGGGTGTGCATGAAGAACTGATGAACAGAAGCAACGTGTGTGTGTGTTATACAATATCACCGCGAGGGGTCCGGTGAACCGTTATATACTAACTTAGAGGGATAAAGCTCAATCAATGTAACACTCCAGGTTCTGTGTCTATATTATCGTTCTGTTTGTAAAGTCATAGAAGAAGACTGTTAGAATGTTGAGTTGTTTTAACTAGAGTGAGTAGAAAGATCTCGAGAGTAAAAGTAAAGTTGTTTATGTAAAAGTAAATGAACGAAATCTGAGAAAAGGGCATTATATCACTATCTGCTGCCCTTTTATTCTTGATCATTTTTATGCATAAAAAACAACTTTACAACAAATAGTAATATGTCAGGCAAGTTGCAAACGCTCAGGTGATGAATTAACGATGACTGAATTTTATATATAACTTACACTTCAGTCATTCTTTTTTATTTATTTATTTTTCCCCGAATATACAAATAGTCAGAGAAGGCGAATGACTGAGTTTGTTTTGCGATAGATTTGGCCATTGTGAGTCGTAGCGGGAGAGATCTTACAATACAGGTTGACAAAAACAGTAGATCTTAGCTTACATCGAGTCCCTGAGAAGGTTTAAACTTAACACGTATAACTAGGTCACACACACACACACACACACACACACACGCAGGACACAATTAATTGGTCTCTTTGTGTCCACTCCCAAGAGTTCCTTGTTGAGGTTTACTAAAGAACAAATTTACGAAGCTCTTCTATTATCTGCGAAAAAAAAGTTTACAAAATGAACAGACATTTAGAATGCAAATTGGCCGAAGGGGCAGTAGAAGGTCATACATGAGGTATTTAAACAACTCCAATTTTTCGTCGGATTTTGCAACTGCATTGTAGGATCCGCTCGACTAACAGTACAGGATGACGAATACAGGAAAAATACATTGAAACAAGGCGACTACACCACATAATCTCCTCTAATGCAGATAACACAAACTTAACCTAACCTAAAGAACTCAGCGTAGTTTCAGCAAAATTACCATAGATTTAGACAGTTGATGTCGACTGAAAATTTTGTGATTTCGAGGGTTTAATCGCGACACTTTTCTGACAATGGTCATTTCTGTGTTTACTGAGAGGTTTAAACAATGCAAGATTTTAACTTAAGGAGAATCGTGAAATAATATGGGAGGTGAAGTTAAGGTTTTGAGAGCTTTAAGATGGATGATGTTAGTTTACGTAAGGCACATGTTGCATGCTAGGGTGGAAAGAACGTTAATTAGTCAGGTGCCCCCAAATCCTTAACGACTCCGATCTAACGTAATAATTAGGATTGAATCTCAGTCCTCTGCGTCAACGTAATTTATGTACCCTTTTAGTACAATAATTACTTAATCTAACGTATTCTTAGCAGGAGAAAACTACTCCATATTTTAACCTGAAAAAATATATATACTGTATATATTAAACAGTGAACCGATAAAGTAAACTGCCGTGAATTTGTCGATGTGACTTAAGACTCCTTTAGTAACCAAACAACTCTATCAAGTGTAACAGTTAGTAAGGAGACCAAGAGTGGGAAGAAACAGGTCTGTAAGCTCAGCAAGTTACGTTTACTCGGGTAGAAAGTTAGCTTTGAGTAGAAAGAAAATAAGATCAGGTACAAACAGGGAAATAAATTTTGTAGAGCTCAATACAGTAAGTGTTGACAGGTAACGAATATAGAGCTTTATGCGGGCACAACGTCTTAATCTTTGTTAAATAAATAGTTCAACCAACAACTTAGGATTCTGCACACAATATCAGGTTTCGTAAAGTTGTTCACGTCAGTAAATTAAATACGTTGTTTCCCAAATCAACGGTGGCAACTTATGAAATTCATATCTTGTGAACATTATATTGACTCTGAAAGCACTAAGAAAGTTTCATTACTTAGTCTTAGAATCTAGAGTAAAATGAAACCAGGTCTCGGGGCTTATTTATTGTGGTAGTATCGGTACTTCGTGAGTCCTACTAAGTTTAGAGCGGTCAATTAGGTTAGGACAAGCTGTCTTCATGGTGTTCTGCATCTTCGTATCACCATTAAAACCGTAAAATGATTCAACATTTGTTACTAAGCGAAGAGAAACTAACAGTTGGGAACACAGGCGTTACTTTTTGAAGCGGTTATGTGTGTTTAAGTTAAGGCAATGTTAGTGTGAGAGTAGCAAGGCTGGGTGTGGCCCTGGACGGTGTCGGGTACTGTGGTTGGCATCTCTTTTGAATTTTTCCCTAGTCATTTTATCTGTTTTATTCTTGATATTACTGCTACATTGGTGTTCAGTCGCTTCAAGTTTGTTTCTTCTAAGTGTCACATTCATCACTGCATGGTTTTTATACCTTTTTTCTCTACCACTTGTTAAATTTTCAAATTTCTTAAAACTTCATTTGGAAATTTAAAGTCAAATTTATTCAGTCTGTCAATAAAAGCTAAACGGCTTTGTGCTTCACACTAAATATGACAGCAAAGTCCATAAGAGATCAGCTGACCACAGTGCTGACGTCACTTGCAGGGTGCACGGGGTCACGTGACCTCGATCTGTCTGTGCTGATGTCCCAGCTGGGGGGCGGCGACCCCCCTGCCCCACACCAGCAGGGGATCCAACTTTCCCCGGGGGCCACCTCCTCCTGCACAGCGGGGCCCAGCACAATGCAACTGTGGCAACAATCGCAGCACAATCAACAGCAGCAGCAGGACCAACAACAACAGCAGTCACGGCCGTGGTGCGAGGCGTGTGGCCGCAGCTACAGCACAGTTGGCAACCTGAAGCAGCACGTGGCTAATGTACACGGGCGGGGGGAGTGGGTGGTGTGTGGGGTGTGTGGCAAGACCTTCAAGACCCGCCAGTACCTCCAGTCTCACCTCCTACAGCAGCACGGCATCAGGCAGCGCCCCACACCCCTCCTCCCTCCGTCATGCCCCCAGTCTGCTGACCCCGCCCTCAACATGCTCCACCACGAGTCACCGTCCAGCTCAGCCCAAACACCCCCCTTTAGCCCCGCCCACCGCTCATTCCACAACCACTCTTCCATTAACCAATCACTGCCCCAGACATCAGTACCCACCACCTTCACTAACCCCGGTCAATCATCATCAGAATTCGCCACCGCTTCGCTTAACGGCCACGTCCACCATCCTCATTTCGGGCAGTCCTCCTCTTCTTACCCCCAAGCACCGCCCCTTAATCCTAACCCAGCCATTGGCCCCACCTTGCCCCAACCTGACAGCAGCGGGCAGGCAGCCAGCCCGCCGCCTCAGCCAATAAAACAGGAAGGCTTCACTGGCTTCCAAACTACCCAAATCAAACAGGAAATATCCTCAGAAAATTACTATACAATATAACCCTTAGGATTAATATAGATATCTAATGAATGTGTAAATAATATTAGCTAGGCATATATATATTGTAACTGTATATAAGTCTCAAACAATGTGGCGAGTAATATGTGTTGTGTATATATAATCAGAAATGCTTTGGTATAGTTAGGTTTAATGACCAGGGTGTGTGTGTGTGTGTGTGTGTATATAATAATCGTTTATTGAAGTTCTGAGGCTGAAAATAACATCATAATATGTGTGTGTGTGTGCGTGTGTGTGTGTGTGTGTGTGTGTGTGTGTGTGTGTGTGTGTGTGTGTGTGTGTGTGCGTGTGTGTGTGTGTGTGTGTGTGTGTGTGTGCGTGTGTGTGTGTGTGCGTGCGTGTGTGTGTGTGCGTGTGTGTGTGTGTGTGTGTGTTAGCGTCCTCACCGTCCGTTGAAGGTGCTTGAGATGACGTAGGTACATTTGTTTAAGAAGCACTTAAACATATATGGGCGTTAGCGAGAACAGGTGTGTAGCAAGTGTAGAGGACAGGTGTGTGGGAGGCACACACGTTATGGAAAAACTGCATAAACATGTGAAAGTTGTGTGTGTGTGTGTGTGTGTGTGTGTGTGTGTGTGTGTGTGTGTGTGCGTGCGTGCGTGTGTGTGTGTATGTGTGTGGTGATGTGGGTGTAGTGTTGAGTGCTTTCAGTCCTGTGCTACCCCAGCTTCAACACGTGAAGACACAAGTCTGTGTCATGAAACATAATAACAATACCTAAAATTCCTATTGGTCAAGGTGCGTGTGAACAGGTAGTTTGTTATATAGATATAGAAATGCATTTATATTTGGTACATTTTACAGATATGTCGCATAAGTAACGCCTGCTTCCTAATGGCCTATTGTGATCTTGTTATTGTAGAAAGCGTGTATAAAAAATAAAAGCCTTCGTTAATCAGCTGATGACGTGGTGTGGAGGTACTGTACGTGTCAACTCTGCTGCCTCCTCTAACTTTATGGGATATAAGTTCTCTAGGACAACTGTGGTAAAGCTTCTTCAGGCTTTTAATAATGTATAGTATTAATATGATGATAGTAACTTTCAGAAACAAAATTCATAAAAAACAAAGTCTAAAGTCAATAACTACGATTTGTAAATGGAAGATAGCAGTGAAATTACCTACCAAAAATTACACACACACACACACACACACACACACACATACATACATGTGACACCTGCAGCAGAGTTGACAGAAAAATGTAGCTCCAACTTAGAAGTCAAGAATCCCGTGGTGACAGCCGCTGCCATAGCGTTATGCTTGGTAGTTGCAGGTCAGGTAAGCCCTATTCCTGATTGACCCTAACCAAACTTAACCTAACCACATGCGTCGGGGACAATTAGAACTGGGGCCTATTTAACCAGTCATGATGCCTGGTATATGTGAGACACAAAGACGCCCCCGTAAGGCGCCACCATCCTCATTAACGACCTAACTACTTAGAAATTATAACGACGTACATATTAACACCTGTTAATGAGTTCAAATATAAGCAGAAGCCGGATCGATTTGTATAAAATTGGTCATATTGTAATAAGAACGATAATGTACATAATCAGGCATCAGACAGCTAAGTACAATTGTGTACAGAATTAATTAAACCTATCCATGGAAACTTAACCTAATTTAATCCCAACCTGACATACATATGAATTAAGAAGCGATGGTTTCCCTTTATGTTATATATGTACAGTTGTATACTTAACCACTAACGTATTTATGACACTTGGACCAATTCTGTACATATCTCAGTGAGGACACCAACAGCTACAGATTAGCGAAGGCATTCGTCTCCACATAATAAACACTCCAGAGTGAAATTAAGGTTAAATTAGAAAACGTTGAAGTAGTTGAACGGCGCCTGTGTTGAGCTACCTGCGTGTAGCGTCACGTGTACTCAGCAAGACCTGTGGTGCGGTGCCACCCTCCCCCTGCTTGTGGTACGGCGGTCCTACCTGCCCCTCATCCCCTGTGAAACACAGTACTATGGTGCTGTCCTGGTTGGTTAGGATCAATGAATATAAGAATCCAGGTGCTTCTGTTGTGTTGGTGAATTGCCAGACTTGTATACCATAAACCTTGTGCTGGAAGGTAGCTGAATGAGGCTATCTGTGGGTGTGTCATCACCTGAGTAGTATTATCTGTATAATGTGGACACGAAGTAGTACCTTAAGCTGTGTATCCTCATATTATACATTATCCTTGACTATTGTACTTATGTGGATGGCACAACTGAGTAATACTATCCATGTATGCGTGTGCTACCAGCTGAATATTATTACCCATGCGTGCTCTACCTATGTGTGTTTTCACTTGTGTGTTGGGTCAGCTGAGTAACTCATGAGGGCAGCTATAAACAACGGGTGTATGTGTGTAGGGATGGGTGGGCGTGGCACCACAGGTGTGCTGTGTACACGTGCTGCGGCGCCTGTGTGTAGTGGCGAGACAGGTAAGTGGTGACACGCTAACTGTCGACTATAGCCTTGTCTACCTCATGTGTACGCCCACGACCTCCCTGGACGTGGCCGCAGCCGTCATGTTATATGAGTTTTGTGTGCAGGCTTCATGTAGAAAGGTGGAGTGTACAGGGGAATTTAGGAGCTCATTGTGTAATAAAAGAAAGGGTTTCATATAAGGAGTATACAAGTCTTGTGGGTTTTGTTTTTAGTTCTTGTCGTGCCTATGTTTAGGTCTTTTGTCAAACTGAAATTATATTAACAAGACGTTGCATTGGATAGTGCTTAATAGAAACTAACCAAACGAAATGTTATCTTAATATCCTCAATAAATCCTGCCATGGAACAAGCTAATATGAGTCACATTAATGTACGAGGCATCCATGTATGTAGGTTCCCCACCTGTTATTACTCTGCCACTCTGCACTGTGTAATTGGTGCTCTCCAATTTCTCCCAATTCACCGTGTTAACAGTATTGGAGCGTCATTTATTCACCCAAAATCAGTGTTCTGAATTAGAGATCTCTTTTTTACGCATCTACAGTACAAATGAATAAATATGAAATACGAAAATCGGTTCACAATCAACTAATAACTGACCTTGGCGATGTGCTAGTATACTGAGTACAGAGTTACACGGGTGTGACGGAAGCTACTGGAATAAATCATCATGGTGAATTGGAATCGGTAGCAATTAGCAATATTCTCAATGATTTATTACAGGTATACAAACTCTTTAAGTCGTTTACCTGCAAATTTAAAAAAAAGTTTACAGGTTGTTTTAAGTATGTATATGAAGGAGCCCAGAGTATTCTTAGTGCTACCCCAGAGTATCCCAACCTTGTGTAGATCAGTACAATATGAGTCTGGTAAGTAATAACTGCAGTTTATAACTTCTGTGCCACACACACACAGTTGAGCAACATTGCTTGTGTGTTTTTTTTACCTAGCATCACCTGGACCTGCTAAGTGAGTAAGTGATGATGATGATTAATGTTAATGATTGATTATAATGTTTTATTGTAATGTTTGATTATAATTGTTGATGATGATTATAAGGGTTGATTATAATGATTGAGAAGATTGATGGTGATAATGATTCATTGATGGATTGATTGATTCTAATGATGATGATGATGATGATGATGATGATGATGAGGAGGAGGAGGAGGAGGAGGAGGAGGAGGAGGAGGACAGCAATGAATAATTCAATCTAAGTTAATTCAATCTAGAGAATTCCAACGCCCAATTCGCTAGGTATGCCTCGCTGGCCACTTAACCGCACGCCTGTCCAGCGTCTCGAGATAACCTAAGCAGCATCCTTTTGTCCAGATCCACATGCATTTTTCCTTTTAATAAGCAGCTACTAATTACCGCTTTAACAGTCTACTTAAAAAAAAAGTAATTCTTCCTCAGTGGTTTTGAAACAGATAGTCGGTCGTTGTGGGCACTGTTTACAGCAGAGGAAGGATGTCTAAACTAACTTGTTGATGCGTCCTTAAATCCAGACTTTTGTTTCCAAAGACTAAACAACTCATAAAGCCAACCTCATGGAGTGAAGGTGACACTCCTCCTCCTCCTCCTCCTTCCTTTAATCTTTCTTTCCACTTGCCAGCAATTACGACAGCAGGTCATTCCTTCATCTTAAAACTACGTGGTGATGTAGTTTGATCCAATATGCCTAGACGTGTGGTTTTTTTTTGTTTTAGTTTTTTTAATAAGAGCTCCAACAAGTCCTTCATACTTAAAGCAATAAAGATGAAGTATGAGGACTAGGGTACCTGCCAACTAACCTCACATGCCGAAGATTATCGTATAAAACCAGTTTAACGACGCGGGTCAAAGATCGAACACTGGTAGGTGTTACATAGGGGCTTTAGCCTACAACTCCCTCCAGCTTATATAGGTTAATCTAAACATGGCGCTCCTAGTTCACCATTTGTCTAAAATTAACTACACAGAACTGTTATATGCGTGTCTAGAATGAGACTTCCAATGAAATATGAAGTAAAGTACATTTGATATAGACATCTTTTGATGGAATATACTGGACGAAGGTGTTATGCCTGCCTGTGTTATCATTTTTAACAGGAAAAACTAAATAATATACAGCATATGTAAGAAATTGCATAAATAACAGCGAATTTTTTTAGTGTCAATCATTCGGTAATTTCACCTTGTAGAGTGGACCATCGCATTACGCTATACATTGTAATTTTCCTCAGGATAAGTTAGCTTTGTTTTTTATTCCCTCAAACAAGTCCCCCCTGACAAAGATCATCCAGGCCCCCAACTTCCTCGCCGACGCTTCTATAAAAATGAAATGTGGTCCGAAAAGGTCAAACGTGGTCAAGAAATGTCAAATTGTTAAGTGTTTACATGGGGCCAGCCATGAGGGGTAATGCCACCAGGTCGATTAGGTGATGACAAATGTATATTGTGGTGAAAATGTCAACACGTAGCGAAGAGACTTAACTGAAGGTGTTGTCTTATCAGCTCTTATTGTTAGGACTAGTTAACTCACTAACAAACTTAAATGTCAAGACCAAAAGAGAGAATTTTTTAGAAATATACCAAATATAACAATGGCACAGTTCAGAATTTCCATATGAATATTATATGTTGCTCAAATAGATGCAAAAACAAACAAAATAAATGATGTTCAGATATAATTAAGCAGTCAGGCTTATACAACTTGT